CCCCAAAACCCCAAAACCCCAAAACCCCAAAACCCCAAAACCCCATGACACATGCATGAAGTTGTAAAGACATTATATGATTTACTCCTAAAATTGTTGATATACCTTGTTCTATATTTTACTGTAAATCTGGTTTGCTGGCCGACCAAATGGGCTAAGAGGGAATTAGAAGATATGTTATTGGGTTAATTAGCTGGGAATAGGGTGGAAATAGCCGGGGACTGAGATCAGTGGAAGGAATTTTGAAATTTTTGGGAAGAGAAATGGTGTGATGCAGGACTTGATCTGGATTTGTGTAGAGAGAGTGCGGGACGAGTTGTAAGAGGGATAGGAGGGGTAGAAGGAAGGTTAAGAAGAAAATTTTGGGTTAGAGGGTCTTAGGGATGGGAGGGTCTGAGGTGAGGCTTGGGTGGTCAAGATTATAAAGATGGTAATGTCCAATTTTTGGTGCCATAATTTGGAATTTTATTGTCTAATATTGACCGAGTCAGAAGTATGTCATAAAATTTCTCACCGCTAGGACACTCTTAGCATCGTGATATTTCAATATATGGTCTCAATAGTTCAAGCAGATGCTCGAGTGCTGATCCAGAAACCGGTGGGTTCTATTCCAGCACCCTCAGATACTTTAAATATCTCAGATTTTATAATTAATTAAAATCTAAATGAAAATTTCTCTCGCAATCGTACTTTGCTTGGCTCTTGCTATGACAAGTGCCTTCAGAATCAGGTAAGACTCCATTCATATGTGCAGCTAATCGTTAGTTACTAGCGATAGAAAGCATTCATCTGCTCAGCTGATGATTCATTAGCATTTAAAGAAGAATATATTCAATGTGTTTGAATAATAATCTAACTCAACATAGACAAGGTAATGGAATGGGACAACTCATGGCTGACGTGCAACAAGGTATCCAAGATGGTAACCAAGCTCTTACTGACACTGAAGGACTCCTCAACGACGCCACCGAAGCCACTGAAGGCATGGCTAACCAATTCATCGGACAAGGTCTCAACGCTGCTGGACAATTCACTGGAGCTGCTGTTGGAGGAACTAGACTTCAGCAAGGAGTTGGAGACGCTGTCAATGTTGCCACTACTGACGGTACTACTTTGACTAATGACGCTGTTGAGCTTACCAACGACGCCACTTCTGTATTCAACGATCTCAACAATCAGTTCATGAATACTGCCACTAACTTCATGGGAGGTATGATGGGAGGAGCCACCGGAGGAGCCACCGGAGGAGCCACCGGAGGAGCCACCGGAGGAGCCAGACTTCAGCAAGGAAACCTCGCTCAAGACATCGGAACTCTCAACCAAGCCACTCTCGGAGCTGTCCAAGACGGAGAAACCGCTTTCAATGATGCTCTTGAACAAACTGAACTATTGACCAACAACGTTCTCCAAGGATTAGAGAATGCTATGGGTGCCCAAGGAGCCACTGTTAATGCACCAACCAGACTCCAACAAGCCACTCAAACTGATGTAGCTGATGACACCAACGCCGTCACTAACGACTTCGCTGGCTTGACCAACGACGGAATTGCTTTGACAAACGACTTGTTACAACAGACCAATGCTGCTTTCGCTCAATTGATGGGAGGAATGACCGGAGCTGCTCCTGGAGGAAACTAATTTCAGATTATAACTCTGCAGGCACGTAGATAGGCAACTGCTAGAGAATAGTTTTCTAGTAGTTGACCAATTAACTAATCGTAAATGCAAAAAAATTAAAATTAAAATTATCTAGCTTCAGTGTTCTCACAACACCTCGGGGTTTTGGGGTTTTGGGGTTTTGGGGTTTTGGGGTTTTGGGGTTTTGGGG